CATTGGGGGAGATGGGCGGCATACAAGTTTAACAATAAATAAATAAATAAATAAATAAATATTAAAAATGTGAAATACTTCTCAAGAGCAGAAGCAGCTACCATGGAGCAAATATTTAAAAATAAGCAGAATATGGGACCTTTTGGGGGGAGAAAAATAGAGGATAGATTTATTAACTATACCAGGGGATCAGCAATATGATTAATGAAATGTTTTTGTTATTGGAAACCAGCTTCTACTTTTCTGTGCCTTTAGGCACTGGCAAATTGGCGTCCTCTAGATATTCGGGAGTTTAAGATCCACTAGCCTTGGCCAGCCAACAGCCAGGTATTGAGGACATACAAGCCCAAACATCCAGAGAACTCAGTTAAAAACAGCTCCTCCACCCCAAAAGAGAAATGAAATCCATGTTCAGTGGTATTTTTTTATTTTCCCATCTCCCCCCAAGGTATGTTAAACCTCCCCTTTGGTTCTCCTTTCATAAAGCCAACAGATTTGTTCCCATGCATATTGCTACTTCTCAGAATCTTAGTTTTGATTTTGCTGTCATGTGAAATATTTATATACTATCCCCACAAAGAGAGAGATGCCTCAGCCATGCGCATTGCAGTGGGACCCGTTGACTCTCCTTTAACCAGAGTAAAATTGGACAGGCTTCCCCAGTCTGGGGCATTCCAGATTGTGGAACTACAAATCCCTTCTGGCAAGCCTGGGTGATGGATGTTGGGGTCTAGAGAGTACCAGGTTGGGCAAGGCTAGGACAATGAGGTCCCAGGCATAGGCCAATAAGACAAATGTTTCAAAGCTTTGTCCATAAATTGTGAAGTCAGATGGGGTCCCCCAGTGGTTCAACAAGGAGCCCTGGATTCTTCGGAAGAGGAACAGAATCTGGTCTGTGAAAACTCAGGACCGCTTCACTGACATGCTCCAAAGATGTTACTTTTGTGTAAAGCGTGCAAACCCTGTGACTATAATGTCTTTGCAGATGCCGAAGCTGAGCGTAGTCCTTATTTATTTGGCACAGCGGCCATCTCCAGTTCACAAGCTCCATAATACAGAATCATCCAAAGCTGATTTTGGGGTGCGTGGTCATTATGAATTTCAGGTTTTATTCAGCTGCAGTTCCAAATACGGGATAACAGGAACTCAAAATCGACAGGAGCTTTACCTGCCCATGTAGATCTGCAGGAAAGCTACAGGTCGCTCTAGTTTCCACCTACATACATACTCACAGGAGATCACAGATATTGGAATGTTGGATATTCATACACCAAAGTGATTGCGCACATTGTGCGCAGAAACAACAACATTACTCTGCAAGATCAGGTGCAGAATTTCATCCAGTAGATCCTGGGACTGGATAACGTTGGACTGAAGTGAGAATACAGAACCCAGGAGCATTTTCTTCTAGGCAACTGCAGTTAATCCACCATACCCCAGCCAGCATTTCTTTCAAGGTGACAGATGTTATCCCCCATCCTGTACGCAGGAGAAACCCTTTGCTCTGGCAAGTGAAGCGATAAGGAGGTTTTCAAGTTTATTGCTGTCGGCTGCAAATAGTTGAAGACTGAATTCATACAGAAGTTGGATGTCTTGTTTCTTTTTGCCTTGCTAGGGTGTTAAACAGCAACACTTTTTTGAAAGTGGGTTGGCATCTCTAATTAAAAGCTAAAGGCTGAAATTGGGTTGGCTAAAGATTTTCTTCTAAAATGTTCTGCCTACACCATTGGTAGAAAGCCACGGTGTGAATCCAGTTGAGCAGTCAGCACATTTAAATTCAACTCCACACTCCTTGTAGTTTACAAAGCATGCCCTTGGATGACATTTTGTAAACAGCAAATAACATGGCCTGTTTAACCACATTACTCTGAGAACTTAATTTCTCTTGATCCCAGTTCCCCTATCCAAAAATACCAAGAACGGTATGCTAGTGTTGGCCAAGATGAGAACCCAGCATATGACATGCTACAGATTTCAATATAATCCAAAGGTTATTAGGGTAGTTAAATAGAACCTCTCTATTCAAGAGAAGTAGCTCTTTGAATACAGATACTAGTGATAAACTGTTGCTGCTGTGACCAGATCTGCCTACGGCAACTGACAGGCTGTCTGCTGAAAGCAGGAGGCCTAATTGAAACAACCCAATAAGTCTCTTATATTTATTCATTTATATATCAGACGTATATCCCACCTTCCCTGCAGGGGCTCAAGGTGACACACACGGTGTTGCTTCCTTCTACTTTTTTCCCACAACAACCCTGCGAGGTAGGTCAGGCCAGGGCAAAAATAGAGGCTGAAAAGCAAGACTGACAGTTTCAACAAGAACAAGACTAGTATGCCTAAGATCGCTAACCCAATTCAGATGTGAAAGACACCTAGCAAGCAGCAGCAACATTAAAACAGAAAGAAAAAAAAATCAATCACTTATGCAAGAAGGGGAAAACACTGAATCACATGGTGACGTTCAATAAAAGAACCCAATTTATATAACAAGCAGAAGATCCATGGTTCCCTGCCCCCTCCTACTGGCCTAGAGATCGGGAACATGCTTCAAACATGCCTCCTGCCATGTGATCCTCAAAGGTGTGGCTGAGAGGACAGACCTCAGCCCAAATTGGCCAGGTTTTGCCTGGGGAAGCAGACTGGCCTTGCTCAATGCAGCTCAAGGATAGAATATTGTTGCAAAAGTTCACAGGAAAATCTGCAATTCTACACACCAACAGTAGCGTAAGCCCAACGGCCTAGCCGCCCTGAGTTACTAGTCTATTGGGCAGCCCTATAAATCAAATAAACACAGAAATAAACTTCTCCAACTTCTATGTAAAATGATCACTGGTTCATAGCTGCTCTGTGCACCAGTTCATGTCTCCCCAGCTTCTTTTTCCAATGCACCACCTATAAGCCCTTCCACTCCGCCCTGCCCTACCAAAGGCCACTAGAAAATGGCACAATATTGTCCAAAGGGCAAGTTCTTGGACAAAGAGCGGAGTCTTTGCGCAAGGAGCAAGATCTTTCAGGATACCTCCATCATCATTTCTTAATCCAGCGCCCTCAAGACGAGATGGACTACAGCTCCCATCATCCCCACTCAGCCCGGCCGAGATCCTGCAGAATACAGATGATCCGAGCTGTCACACCTTTAGAAAGCACAAGGAAGACGCCAAGGCGCCAAGGCTGGGGGATCTCTGCAGTTTCACCCCCTCCATCCTTTGTTTCGCCTTCATTGTGCGCCTTCTGTCACTGGTTTTGGAAGGGCTTGATTCACCTCCTCGCCTTCGCATTGCTCACCCCGCCGGCTCACAGTTCATCATCCCGCATATTTCGGTGCCACATTTCTCCACCGCCCGCCCCACCCAGACCCACCTCTCTGAGGTGGACACAGCGAGGGCGGCAAAGCCCGGGCATTCCTCCACAGCAACGCCTCCCCTACGAACAGCCTCGATCTCGGCTGCCCGCTCGAACTCGCCCCGAAGCTCCCCTCCCTGCCGCAACGAGTCCCAGACAGCGGCTCCCTTTTGTTCGGCTCCAGCCCACTAGTCCACGCTGCCCCACACGAAGGGGCCCTTCAGGCTCTGCCGCTCCCAGCTCCGCAATCACCTTGAAGCGATCCCACCCCGTTTCTAATCCACTAGGCGACCCGGTCCCTTCCCGCGAACCCAAGATCCTGCTAATCTGGTGAGGTCTCCAGACGCCTTTCCTTCAGAGCCCAGGGCTTTGGCCCCCTGCTCTGCCCCCAAGCACTCCTTCTTCCTCCCCCCAAAACCGGAGCAATAATCCCAGTCTTTTATACCGGCGTTGCGCTCTTACCTGGAGCGTCACTCCCTCTGCCTTCTGATCCAGCGACTCCCGTTCGCCAGGCAGCTCCGGCAAGCCAGCGGTTAAAAGGGAGGGGTGTGTCTCGCAAGCCACGCCCACTTTCCCGGGGCTTTTGCCCGGGCTGTCTTTTTCTTAAAGGGGCACCCTCAAGCCAAGATTTGGGGAATCGTTGCGGGCGCTCGGGGCGATAAACAAACAAACAGGCGGCCCGAAAATGGAAAGGGGGCTGTGCGGAGAGAAATGCTTTCAAGGAGACCCAGAAGAAGAATGCAGATCTTGGAAAGCAGGAGGAGGAGGAGGAGGAGGAAGGGGAGGCAGAAGAGAAAGCGCATTGCTGAAAAAGGGACCCTCGCCCCACCCCCGCCCCCACAAGTCTTACCCAGCCCGAGGATGGAATTTCCTGAAAGTGTCTTTCCCAGAGAGAATAATTAGTTCCAGATGGAAGACGGGGGGGAAAGGGGAAGGAAAAGCAGGATTGTTGGAATACTGTAGAGCGGAGGAGAAAGACCCTGGAAGGTATGGAGGGACCGCCTTTCCCAACCTGGCGCCCTCCAGATGGGTGGGTGGCCGTCCTTCCGATCACCTCTGCAGGCAACGCGCTTTCTGCTCTAGGAACAAGATAAGAGCGGGCGAGAGAGCGCGGGACTTACACGCGGGCGACAGTCGCGCGGGGGGGGGGGGAGGGGCCAGGGGGGGGGGGGGGGGGGGGGGGG